TTAAAAGTTTTAAAAGGATCCTTCCTGCTTGCAAAAGCCACTGCCATGATGCAGCATTTCGAGTTGCGCAGGGGCTTGGGAAGACATAAATGTGGCCTCTCATAGACACAGGCCCTCGGGAGATGTCTAGGAATGTAATGGAGAGCAGAAACCTCTGTGCCTACTTAGGGGCAGCTGGATAGTAAAGAATATACAGGACCAATGATTGGGATGAGCAGGGAGAGAGAGTTAATAAGTACCAAGATGGAGGGAGCCTTCACCTCCTTCCTTCATTTTAAGCTAGGAATACAGAAAGACAAATACTCAATGGTAAAATTCAGCAAGAGCTAAGAGAATTGGAAATTTTAGCGAAATTGCTTACAGGAGATAAGAAATTTACAGGTTTCCTTGGGTCAAAGAGAGAGAGGCTCAGGGGAACATAGCAGGATACATGTGCCAATACCATTCAAACAGCTCAAGAAACTGAAAATGGCTTGTGTCCAGTATGAACCAACTACAATTTTTACCCAGAGGCTGATAGGGAATATTGCTGTAGAAGCCTCACCCCTAGGAAATTGAAAGCGGGTAACCAAGGCCTGCCGGTCAGGAGGAGGATATTTGTTATAGAGAGCAGGCAGGGACCTAGAGAGTTAGTTCAAAATTGATTTCTAGGCCTGTATGGACATTACACAAAAAAGTTAGAGACACAGATGTTGGAACTTTATGAAACAGCTATCTTATGAGAATACTAGTACTGCATGCCAGACTGCGTTAAGGCCTCACAGGAAGAGGACTGACGTGGGTGAGTTCATTAAGATTTTTTTCAGATGTGGACCTAGCTTACACTCAGAGATTAGCAAAGAGATTAGCAATGGTGGCTGCCTTACAGGAACTTCAATTAATAATATGTTATTCCTACAGAGAAAGCAAGGCATAGGGAGGAAGAAATGCACAGAGCCTTCTAGAGGTTGCTTTGGGCATGTTCAGGAAGAGCACCAGGTCAGACAGAGTCCCAACAAAAGAGAAAATAGGGGGTCAGGCTTGTGCCTGAAATACAGCTGCAGATTTTTCAGCGGCCCAGAGGGCATAGTCAAGCTAAGGCCAATGTCAGCCATGGCAGCGGCCTCAGTCTGCCGGCCCTCAGCCATCGGCTTGGTGCCACCTCATGCTGGCATCTGCGGCAGGCTAGACAAAATGGCTGACAGGGCAGTGGACAGCCTGCCTCCTCAGGGTAACTTCCAGCCTTGGGAGATGCCACCATGGCTGATGGCTAGTCAATGTATATAAATGCTATTGATATAGCCAGACAGAAACTGTTTTTGAGACTTATAGGGAAGAAAGGGCAACATATTTAAGCTTAGAATTGTTCAAATTTTGGATGCTCATATTTCAAGGATTGACTATAGCTGCTATGTTAGAAATTTCAATTAGGGATTTTTCTTTTCAACAAACTGATCATAACCTAGGCAAAAGGAAAAAATGTGAGACGTACACAAGTTATGAGTGAATGGTGTGGCCACACCTGGATTCATGATGTGATTATGAATTTATAAATACGGATAAATGGAAATGCCTAAATTGCCTTGGATATAATTAGAGAGATATTTACATTGCCTTGGATATTGTTTAAAAAATATCAAAATCACTTTAATATGGTCAAAAAGAGCATCCAGTCAGTCAGTCAACGTCTTAACAGAAAAATTTATGATTTGAGCCCTAGGAGATAGTCAATTAAAAAGTTAGCAAAGGCCTATAGCGTTATCTTAGAGACAAGAGGAATCTATGGATGATTCTGTAAAATTTGGCAGATGAGAGGATACATCTCATCTTTAGGTCTTACTAAATTTTTATGGTTAAAAAAATCTAGAATGAATTAACTGATTAACAAAATTGGTTGATTTGCCTTAAACAAAAAAAAAGCTCAAAAGGCTTATAACTTTCTTCATCATAATAACAAAAGTCTAAGAAAGCAATTTGGCTTAACCAGAGAGACTGCTGGTCAAATCATCAAACAATGTGGAATATGTCTACAATATGGCTATAGCTAATTTAAGGGTGAATCCTCAAGGCCTGCTCCCCAACCATTTATGGCGAATGGATGTGACTCACATCACGGAGTTTGCAAATTAAAAATATACACGTGGCAATTGACACGTATTTAGATTTCTTAATGGCCACTCCACAAACAGAAAAGGCCACCAGCCATGTTATAAGTCACTGTTTAACATGTTTTGCTTACATGGGAATGCCAAAAGTTATAAAAACAGATAATGGGTCTAGATATACTAACAAAGCTTTCCAGCAATTTTATGCTTAATAAAAAATTGATCAAAAAACATATATTCCTTATATATCCCCAAGTACAAAAAATAAGAGAGCGGGCCCATAGTGCCTTAAAAACACAGCTTCTAAGATAAAAAGGGGGAGCTGTGCCTCTAGTCTCCACATGGTGCATGAAACCACGCACTATTTATCTTAAACTTTTTATATATGGATACCAATGAGCAATCTGATACAGACAGATTCTGGCATGAAGGAACTCGAGCAAATTTTGCTCAGGTCAAATGGAAAGATGAATAGAGGGGACCAGACCCCTTAATTATTTGGGGGTCAAGGGCCTGTCTGTGTTTTCTCGCAGGAGGAGAATGAGGGGCGCTGGCTACCGGAAAGATTGGTGAGATGCGTGGAACAGAGAAAAATGGGACCTGGGCCCACAGGAGACCATCTAAAACAGTTGGAATGAAACACTGGACCTGTATTTCCTGAACCTTGAGGACATCTGATCTACAGCCGGAGGAAGAAGGGAGACACACCCAGTTTTGAGATGCTTTCCAGAGTTCCAGCTTCCCTACAGACCAACTACATCCACCTCTCTGAATCCGTGAGTGCTCATCCAGGAGCAGACTAAGAACTTGATAAAAAACAGCTTGCTTTCTTGCCACAAACAGTCACACAAAACTGTTTTGCCAGTTTTCCCGTTGGGAAAAAGGACCCGTTTAGGACAGTCGGATACTGGCATAAACCAGAGTGGCAGAAGCTCCTTCACAATGCTTAAACAAGACATGGACAAAAGACTTTTTAGTTAATTTTCAAAGACTGATATTACAAACCTGATGTTAAAACTTCGGACTTTGAGCAAGTAATAGAAAAGTTTCAAGGGGCAATAAGTCCAAGGCAGGGAATAAAGAAAATAGTTTTAGAATTGTGAGATTGTTCACACCCAATGTGAGAATATCTTACTGTCTTTTGATTGTATTGTAACTCACCCTAATGTATGCTGGAATTGTTAATGTCTGTGATCTTGCTATATGTGTTATGCAAATGTTATCAGAAACTAGAAGTCAGAGTTCTTTGTAACACAATTGTAACATGTAATGTACAAGCCTTAAGATAGAAGTATGTTTTAGGGAGCAAACTTTAATAAGGTCCGTATCAGAGGCACTAGAGGCATTGCCACACAGATTTTAAAAGGCCATTTTAACCTTCATATGTCTCTATCCCGCAGGAGAATGTATGCAGCCATGAGGATTTTGGAGCTAGACCATTGCCCATCCCCCACTAACCTTATTTGTTTTACAGAGGCTGTTTCCAGCCAGAGACGGGTACGGTTTTCCTTACCTTCAGGGAATCCTAAGACAGAACATGCATGACAGAATGCATGATTCCATGATGGGCACCCCGATAGGTTGAAGGGTACATCCTAAAACAGGCACAGTCATCTGTCCTGATGCAGAAGCACAGGTTTCTTTTTATTAATTTAAGAGAGAGGAATTGTGGGGGACCAAAATATTTCCGCTATGGAATATTTTGAGATCCAGCCTTTGGTTTCATTAAACATGGAGCACCGGAAAGCTCTGGCCCACTATTGTATTGTTAATGCCAGTAGGGCTACTATTTTTTACCATGGCCTGGGCAGGGAGAGCAGAGGTGTGTGAATAACTTGTGAGGATGGAAGGTTAGGAGTTAGGGGCGAGTGACCAGAGCAGGGAGAACAAAGAGAGATGGGATGGGTCCCTCGTGGTCATGACAGGACGGTTAAGAAACACCAGAAAAGATGGCTAATAAAGATGGCTAGTTCTACAACATGGAACTGAGAGCTCTCTAAAGATGACAAGATGCCTGTGTTTGGTCTTTATCGCTGCTGGGTTGCTAGGAGCTTCCAGGTCCGCACACCCCCACTCAGGCCGGACCTCATGGATTAAGGCTGAGACATGCTGGGTCACGACACAAGTTTTCAGTTGGCATTTGGAGGCTGCTGAGGTGACTCCAGGGACAAAGCACTTGCTGTGCAAACCTGATGACATGGGTTCCATCCCTGAAGCCCACATAAAAGCAAAAGGGGAGTGGGCTGGAGAGATGGCTCAAAGGTTAAGAGCACTGACTGCTCTTCTAGATGACCCAGGTTCAATTCCCAGCACCCACATGGCAGCTCACACCTTGTCTATAACTCTGGTTTCAGGGGATCTGACACCTTCTATACCAATGCAAATAAAGTTAATAAATAGCTTAAAAAAAAAAACACACAGTTGTCCCTCTGACCTCCACACAGGCACCATGGTACAAGTGCCCACACAAACTTGTTGTATACATACACAAAACTATAATGAATAAAATCAAAGTGGCAGTTTGCTCTTTGGTAGATCACTTCAAGTTCTAGTCTACAGAATCTAGGAACAGGAGACATGGCTGAATAGTTAAGAGCACTGGCTGCTTTTGCAGAGGGCACAGGCTCTATTCCCAGAACCCACATGGCAGCTCACAATTGTCTGTAACTCTAGTTTCAGAAAATTCAGTGTCCTCTTCTGAACTCCGTGGGCACTGCACTTATGTGGCACACATACATTCATGAAAGCAAAGCACTCATATGCATACAACAAAAGTAAATAAATATTTAAAAACTAAACAAAAGGACTGAAGAGATGGCTCAATGATTAAAAAAAAAACTTATTGCTCTTGCAGTGGGGCTAAGGTTTGGTTCCCAGTATCTACACGGTAGTTTGCAACCATCCATAACTCCATTTCTTGGGAATCTAATGCCTCATTGCTACCACCATGGGCACTGGTACACACATGGTGCACAGACATACATGCAAACACAAGCCTCACATATTAAATAAAAAAAACAAACCTTTTTGAAATGTTAATGAAAAAGAAGAATCTCCCTCTTATGAGTTGTAACACATGAGAACCAGGTGGGGCTCATAAAACTGCCTGTCAGCCTCCTCAGCACTTTTTAAATGCAGTTCTCAGCCAGGACAGTCTTGTCCCTTTTGTTTTCCCTGCCAGAAACCTCTCCATAGAATCACTTTTTTACCTCTATCTGCTCTATCTGTTGGAACAGAGTGGGTTGAGCAGCCGGTTCAGATGGCTCTTCTGGAGACTGGGGTTCTGTGGCTGCTGTCTGGAGTTCCTCTTCTTCCCATTCATGCTGGTAACAGTTCTTGGTGACTTCATGCCTCAGGTCTTCACCTTCAGCTGCTGAAAAGGGGAATCCAGAGAGTCAAAACCAGTTATCAGCAACCTCGGAGTTCAATTAAGTGTGATGTGAAGTAATGTTTTGCTCTAAGGCTTCATTTTATACAGAAAAGCAATGCCCTCTTGCTGACACAAAAGGACCTCTGGCCTGCTGACCCTGGCAAATAAGGCAGCACTTGTACTTCTAAGGCCAAGAGGGTAGAAGAACACCCAAGGAATTGTGGGATGGAGAAGGAAACAATGTGGCTGCCCAGGACAGGCCAGTAGTACTTTTGGGCAGGGTCTGGAAGTGGGGTGGGCTAGGGGAGTAGAATGGATAAAGCAGATGATGAACACCAGGGTCTTAGGCATTCAAAAGCACTCTACCAACCAAGCCAGTCTAACTTGGCTCCATTGTGACTTCTGGCCATTTGTTCTCTATGGCCTCCAACTCCATATTCACCTTGACTGGAGGAGGCTGGGAGCTCTGTGTGTGTCTCAGGGAAGGAAGGCCACTACCGCTCAGGGTGCAGGGAGCATCACGAAGTTCCATGAGAATTCCTCGGATCTTGTGAGACTTAGTTTGTACTTTATGCATACTGCTAGGTGCTTGTTATATTCCTGCACTTTCTTATTTTATGGCTTCTGTCTTCTTATTTTATGGCTTCTTTTTGTTTTTTTTTTTCAAGACAGGTTTTCTCTGTGTAGCTTTGGAGCCTGTCCCAGAACTCACTTTGTAGACTAGGCTGGCTTTGAACTCAAAGAGCTCCACCTGCCTCTGCCTCTGCCTCCTATGTGCTGGGATTAAAGGCGTGCGCCACCAACACCCAGCTTTCTTTCTTTCTTTCTTTCTTTCTTTCTTTCTTTTGTCTTCTTTCTTTCTTTCCTCCTTTCCTACTTCCTTCCTCCTTTCCTCCTTTCCTTCCCTCCTTCCTTCATTCTTCCTTTCTTTGTTTCTTTCTTCCTTCCTTCCATATTTTCTTTTTTGCTTTGTTTGTTTGCTTGTTTCTCTGTGTAGCCCTAGCTGTCCTAGAACTTACTCTGTAAACCAGGCTGTCCTCAGACTCAGAGACCCAAAATGCATGCACTACCACTGCTGGACATGAAGGCTCCTTCTTGTTCCTTTGTTTTGTTTCAGACAGACAGTCTCACTACACAGCCCAGGCTAGCTTCAAATTCTTTATCCTCCCCACCATGCTCTGGAAGGCAAAGGTCCCTATTGTCCTTGTGTCATGTTTCTTATCCTATACTTTCTTATTTAAATAAACTAGGATCTAAATACAAATTGAAAAGACTATACAGCAGGATCTGAGACCAGATAAAGAGCATGGTCTTTGTGACATTGTTTAAAAGGTAGGCATGGCAGGGCATGTATGCCTGTAATCCATATGGAATTCAGAGGCAAAAAGATTGAGTTTTCAAGGTTAGACAGAGCCACATAGTAACACTTTGTCTCAAAAAAAAAAAAAAAAAAAAAGGGTGGTAGTGGTAGGACCTGGTGACAGAGCCTATATAGATCACGGGTCTAACATGTATGAGGCCCTCCATTAAATTCCCAGCACTGAATCAATGGAAAAAAGAGACAGAAACTGAAATGGTAGTAGAAACCCAGAAACCAATCAAGAGCTACTTGATCCTCAAATTTAAACATCGGGTAAAAATAAATAAATAAATAAATAAATAAAAATAAAAACAAAGAGTGATTTTTTTTCACACATCTCAGAAATGACCAAATTGAAAAACAAACAAAAAAACAGAGAAATTCTCTCTCTCCCCCTCTCCCTCTCTCTCTCTTTCCTTTTTGGTATTTTGAGACAGGGTCTTACTATGTAGCCCTAGATGTCCTGCAACTCACTAGGTAGACCAGGCTGTCCTGAAACTCAGAGATCTATCTCTGCCTCTGGAGCTCTGGGATTAAAGTCGTGCATCACCTCACGGGGTGAGAAATTTGCTTTTAGCATGATCAATAAAATGAATGCTTAAAAACAATAAATTAAAAAATTGACATCATCCCAAATTGCAAGAGATGTACAATGATGTATGTAGGTACCATGCCTTTCCAGCTAAATAAGGCCTAGTTGCCCATGTTTTAGTTCTAGTCATTGATGAACCACAAAATACGCCGTCATGTGGAGAGACTGGAGAGGTAGAGGCCCAAATTCCCATTTCCCAAGCCAGACATAGAGGGTACTGCTTGTGAGAAATCTCTTTCAGGCCTGACCCACCTATTTCGTTGGTTGCCTGGAGTAAGACTTCTGTTTCCTCCATCCCAGTGTCCAGTTGGCTCTGCAGTGGGCAGGCTGGCATCGGTATCTGCTCTTTGGCTTGCTCACTGCTCCAGGGAGGCTGATGACTGCTGTCAGGCATGCTGAAAAGTGGAGGCTCGGTGTCAGGTGGACCCTCAAAAGAGTATGCTACGGCGTCTTTGTTACACAGTTTCAGCATCTCTGGGACCTAGTTGATCATTCCTTTCTCCACATGTTTTTTTCCGCCCCAGCTTTATTTGTAACTGTCATTTGCCAACTGCTTTGGAACTTCTGGGTGGCATTGAGGAGTTGCTCAGTGTCACTTCTACTCAAGTCTCTAGGGTTCCACTCTGCTAGCACCCCAGTCATTCACTCCTCAAGGAACTTCTCCAACACGATGGCTTTCTTTAGGCAGCCCGTATGTTGAGGCGTGCTGAGACTCCCTGAGTTAGAACTGAGAAACAAGAACTTTCTTTTCTCACCTTGTCCCCTCATCTACCTTTGCCAATGACCACTTTAGAGAACCGGGGCCTTTAAACTACTCACTACACTCAAAGACAAAACAAGCTTTTCAACTTCTGTCCCTCCACTCCATGGTTATTTAGCTATTAGACCTGTCTTGAATGTAGAACATGCAAGGCTAGGTCTTAGTAATTCATACAAATGGAATGACATTGACATTAGAAATTTCCTGACCAAAAAAACAAACAAACAAACAAAAAACAACAAAACAAAACACAACACCATGTTCTGGCAATTGAGGCACACACATTTTAATTCTAGCAGTTGTGGGTGGGAAGCAGAGGCAGGTGGGTCTCTGAGTTCAAGGCCAGCCTGGTCTACAGAAAATGAGTTCCAGGACAGCAGACATCGGATATTCAGAGGAAACCCTGTCTCAAAAAAGCAAACAAGCAAACAAAAAAACCCTATTTCTGAATGAATGTCATATAAAAACAACTTGCTTGGGCAGTGGTGACACACACACCTCTAACCCCAACACCCTGTGCCCACCCTCAAAAAAAAAAAAAAAGTTTTCTTGCCTCGAGTAGACAAGACCCTGAGTTGAGTCCTAGGCACAGCATAGACCAAGTATGTCAGCATATACCTGTAATCCCAGTACTCTGGAGGTGGAGGCAGGAAGAGCAGAAGTTCAAGGTCATTCTTGGATATACAGAGAGTTCAGAGCCTTCCCTTACTGCATTATACATCACCTCAAGACCCAAGAACATGGTAAATATTCTCAGTAATAAAATGACCAGTAGCAGCTAATGCCACAGGAGACCTTCATCATCACCTGAGCCAGATGCTGCCAGGAGACTCTCCTGTAGCCCCAATCCACTTCTTGCTCTTTATTGCTTTGTTTCTTTCTTGCAGTGGGGCCTCATTATTTTTCTGGCTTGAAACTTTTGATTCTCCTGCCTCAGCCTCCTAAATCCTGGGATTACAGGTGCAGGATCTCATTCCCAGCTCCCTTCGCTGTCTTATACCAGGGCAAAAGGCACTTTGCTTTAAAAAAAAAAAAAATTCTATGTACCTTTAAAAAAAAAACTGGGGATTGAACCCAGGACCTCACCCGTGAAGAAAATGCTCTACCACTAACCGACATCCCCAGCCATCATTCTATTTTTGTTTTGAGACAGAGTCCCATTAAGTTGCTTAGGTTGTCCTCAAACTCATTCTGTAGCCCAGGTAGGCTTTGAACTTGTGATCAATTTGGCTCAGGTCCTGAGTAGCTGGGATTACAGGCCTGTGCCACAAGGTCCAGCTAGGTCCTTTTAATTACAAAATTAATACATGAGTATATGCTTATTGTGAAAAATTAAAACAAGAAGCTAGAGAGATAGCTCAGCAGTTAAGAACACCAGTTGCTCTTCCAGGGGACCTAGGTTCAGTTTCCAACACCCACATAGTGGTTCATGACCATCAGTTCCAGGGGATCCAACACCCTCTTTTAGTCTCCAGAAGCAGACACCAGGCACACAGGTGGTGATTAGGCACACGTGCAGGCAACATGCCCAGACACATAAAATAAAGTAAAAAAATATTTTGTTTTTTCAAGACAGGGTTTCTCTGTGTATCGCTGGTTGTCATGGAACTCACTCTATAGACCAGACTAGCCTCTAACTCAGAGATTGGCCTGCCTTTGCCTCCTGAGGGCTGGGATTAAGGCATGTGTTACCACCACCATCACCAGGCAGTAGAAAGGAAGAAAGAGAGAGAGAGAATAAAAGACCTAAGACCTAAAATGAAAGTGAAGGTACCCTTTTACTTCACATAGTCTCAACATATAAAAACGCACAAGCCAGGGCAGGGTTAATACACCTGTTTACAACTTGCCTTCCCTTTGAACATTATTGTTATCTCTCTTTTTTTTAAATTTTCTTTTGTTCTTTAGACAGGTTTTCTCTATAAACACCCCTGACTGTCCTGGAACTCACTCTGTAAATCAGGCTGGCCTTGTGGCCTCCATCTCTGCCTGCCTTTGCCTCTGGAATGCTGGGATGAAAGGCATGTGCCACCATGCCTGTTCAGTCTGTTTAAAATTTGTTAGGTTCCATAATTCTCTTATAGAAAGCAGTGTTCTGGGACAAGATGTTGTACTTACTTTTCTAAGAGTTTGTCATAACTGTCACTTAGCAATTTTCGTTCATTTTCCAAATCTTCAACTCTGACCTGAAACTAAAAATGATAGAATCCTTGAGACCATGCTGGTTTTGTATTCCATGGCATCGGCTTTTCTAGATTGGTTCTACAAGGTGTTATTTGAGAGATTGACCTGGAAGTGGCACACATTAAATCCCAGTGCAAAGGCAGTCAAATCTCTGAGTTCGCTGCCAGCCTAGTCTACAGAGTGAGCTAGTGCCAGGACCTCCAGGGTCACACAATCAAACTCTCAAAAAACAAAAACAAACAAACAAACAAAAGATCTGTGTTCCTACCATCAGAGAAGTGACAACGCATTGTAAAAGACAAAAGTAGACAGTGAGATGGCTCAGCAATCCAACCCTTGACTTGAATCTGACCCTCAGAACCCACATGATAGAAAGAGAACACTAACTCAAAAACTGTCCTATGACCTTCACACTTGAGCTGCGGTCTATGTACTTGCACATACAGACACACAATGAATAAATGTAAGGAAAAAAGGAACAGTCAATACTGGTGGAGCAAACGATTAACCTTGGCACTCAGGAGGCAGAGTCAGGCAGATCTCTGTGAGTTCGAGGCCAGCCTGGCCTTCAGAGTGCATTTCAGAGTAGCCAGAGCTACACAGTGAGACCCTGTCTCAAAAAAACAACAAAAGAAGGAGCTGGAGAGATGGCTCAGAACTTAAGAGCATTGCCTGCTCTTCCAAAGGTCCTGAGTTCAATTCCCAGCAACCACATAGTGGCTCTCATAACCATCTGCAATGAGATCTGGTGCCCTCTTCTGGCCTTCAGGCATACATGCAGGCAGAACACTATACATAATAAATCTTAAAAAAAAAAAAAAAAGACAAAAGAAAAAGGACAACAGACTCTAGAAAATAGACAAGTATAAATTCTCAAATGTTGTCATGATCTAAACTATGTGGTTTAACCACTTTGGAGGTTCACTGTTCTCATAGGAAAAAAATACGTAACTGGGCTAGAGAGACAGTTTAGCAACTAAGAACACTAGCTGCTCTTCGAGAGGACTTAGGTTTGATTCCCAGCACCCACATGATGGCTCACAAACATCTGTAACGTCATTTTAGGGGCTCTAATGCCTTCTTTGACCTCAGCAGACACCAGACACTCATGTGGTATATAGGCATACAGACAAGTGTAACAGAGAGTGCTAGCAACTAGCCCTAACCTACACCTGGCCTAGCTCCAGAGAGCTAGCACCTACCCTGATCCATCCTTTGTTGAGGGGATACTTTTTGTCACCCAATGTAAACCTTGTCTGAGAGTTCCCCAAGGATACAAAGCCTATGCAAAACTTGGGTCAGGAAACCTGAAAACTGGGATACCTGATGAATGGAGAGTTTGCACTTGGCATTGTGTTTTTGGAAGCTTCATTCAAGTTGTTCTGAGCATATGGTAATCAAATTCAGAGAAAAATAAAAATGCTCTGGGCTTAAGCTAGGTGCTTTGCTTCAGTCCATCAAGGCTGGAGATCCCTGCAGCTGTGAAAGGCTAAGTTTATTCTAAAAAGTTTCTCTGAGTCTTCTTTTGGTGAACCCTTGTGGACCCACACCACAACATCCTGGACAGGCAAGCAAAACACCAATAGATGTAAAACAAATGTTCTCATGGAATATCCAGATTGTTGCTATGATGCACACTTTTAACATCCTGAAGTTAGATTGCAGCAGTTTTTCATAAAAAAAAAAAAAAAGTCCCCCCTCAGGTCCTCAGCCTTGGCCTAGCACATACAATTATTTTTGTATGTTTATCATGTAGCCCAAGCTGGTCTCAAGCTCACTATACATCAAAAGAAGACTGTGAACATGTCATCACCTTGTTTTTAGACTGCTGAGATTACAGATGTATGTCATTACCTGTTTTGCTTTGAGCCAGAGTCTCATCAGGACAGACTGAATTCAGAGATCCCCCTGCCTCTGTCTCTCAAGTGCTGGAACTAAAGGCATGTGACACTATGCCTAGCATCACACCTGCTTTTATGCACTGATGGGGTCAGATCCAGGCCTTTATATGTGCTAGGCAAGTATTCTACAACTGAGCTGCTCCCAATCTGGGAATATGGCACATTTGATGGCTTCTTTTCACTACTAGTATTTACCTCCTTCAGAGTTATCTGCAAGATAGACACATCTTCCAGTTGTGTCTTCAAGCTCATGACCTTCTTGCTCTCCTCTGTCAGCTCTTTTTTGAGCTCATTCACTTGGCTGAGGAAGGCATCATGGGTGGCATTCAATATTCCTTGATTCTGGGGACAAAGGGAAATTCCTCTAGGAATGATCACAGTTATCAGCAGGGAATGGTCTCCACACAGCAGCAACTCCAGAATTCTTAGGTGGAGGCCACCCAGAATATCCATGTGGTGGTTTGAATAAGAATGGCCCCCACAGGCTTGTATATTTTTTTTGAATGCTTGGTCATCAGGGAATGGTACTACTTGAGAGGGATTAGGAGGTATGGCTTTGTTAGAGTGAATATGACCTTGTGAGAGAAGTATATCACTGGGGGTGGGCTTTGGGGTTTAGAAGCTCCAGCTAGTCCCAGTGGCTCTCTCTCTTTTCCTGCTCCCTGAAGAACTGGATGTAGAACCTCTCCAACACCATATCTGGCCCAACCGTTCAGAGAGCACTGCAGGTATGCAATAAAGTCAGGTTCAGACCAAGAAAATCTCTTAACAGATGTACATTTTAAAATGTGCTTAGATGCTGAAGAAAAGAAAATGGGTACAGACAGTCACAGAAAAATAACACTTAAAAATAATAAATTAGATGGGGTGGCAGGGTGGAAAAAATAATAACAATAAATTAGCTGAGCTTTCATAATTAATGATAAGTCCCTGGGTCATTTTTTGTGGGCTGGTGGTCCTGATGAAAAAGTACTACTATTCAAAAGACAACAAAAGAAATTACCTTCTGGAGCAAGTCTTCATATGCCTGGAAGAAAAAAGTAAGTATTATTTTACCAACTCACCAGTTTTATGAGATACTTGACATCTCTGTAAGATAAATATAGTTGGGTGTGGTATCCACACCTTGAATACCAGCACTTGGGAGGAGAGGCAGGCAGGCAGCTCTTTATGAGTTTGAGTCCAGTCTGGTCTACAGAGAAAGTTCCAAGCCTATCAGGGCTACACAGTGAAACATTATTTCAAAAAGAGAGAAAGGCAAAAGAAAAGATACATTATATGTCTCTGCAGAGCACCCATGTCAGAAAGGTCCGACCACATCTGCTCACCTAAAGCAGAAATTCAGAGGCCACCTCCCATTTCTCCATTGCCCTCATCCTCTCTTCTTTTGGGGACAGAGCCCATTCTTTTTTTCTTTTTTTTTTTTTGCGGGGGTGGGGGGTGGGGTGGGGTTCGAGACAGTGTTTCTCTGTGTAGTTTTGAGCCTATCCAGGCACTCGCTCTGGAGACCAGGCTGGCCTTGAACTCACAGAAATCCGCCTGCCTCTGCCTCCCGAGTGCTGGGGCCACCAACGCCCGGCGGAGCCCATTCTTCTATGTCCTGGACTTACCAAAGTTCCCTTTCTCTGCAGGCTTCTCTCCCGCTGGGTCCTCATCTAATATCTGTGGTTCTCCTGTCCTGGAATCCTATAGAATTTCTGTGTCTACAGTCTGTATCAGCCATCCTAGCTTTACTCTGTTCTCCTGTAACTTTGCATTTTTATTAAGATTTATTTATGTTCTGTACGTTGGGGTTTCACCTGCATGTTTGCTTTGTAAGGGTGTTGGATTCCCTGGAGCTGGAGTTACACTTGTGAGCTGCCATGTGGGTGCTGGGAATTGAACCCGAGGCCCTTTGGAAGAGCAGCCAGTGCTCTTAATCACTGAGTCAACTGTCCAGCCCCAAAATTTTCTTTTTAAAGTTAGTTATTTTATGTGTATGTGTGTTTTGCATGTATATTTGTAAGTGCACCACATATGTGCCTGGTTCCTGCAGAGGTTAGAAGTGGGCATCAAATCTCCTGGACCTGGAGTTAGGAAGACTTGTGAGCCTACTTGTGGGTGCTAGGATCAAACCTGGCTCCTCTACAAGACAAGAAGTTCTTTGGACCTCTGAGCTATCTCTTCAGCCCCTTCCTGGTTTGGATTGGTTTGTTTAGTTTTTGTTTGTTTTTTTGAGACAGGATCTCATATAGTCCAGGAGAACCACAGACTTATTATGTTATTGATGATCACCTTGAGATATTGCAATTCTTGAGACATCTCAAGATTTCAAGACAATATAAAAAAAATCTCCCACGGGTCAGGTGATGGTGGTACATGCCTTTGCCATCTCTGTGAGTTTGAGGCCAGTCTGGTCTACAGAGTGGGTTCCATGTCAGGCTACAAAGCTACAGAGAGAAACCCTGTCTTCAAAAAAAAAAAAAAAACAAGACAAAAAAAGTCTACTACATACCTAGTAACTATTGGTACTTTGTAGCCATTTTCCTAAAGAAATTCTTTATGTACTAAAATGTATTTCAAATGCCATGCTTTTCAAAGGCTATGAGATCTTTTGGAGGGTAGAAGTTGATCTTCCGATCAGCTTGTTCAAAACGCCTCTCCAGCCGCCCACTCACTGTCTACATGCTCAGACCTAAGTCCCCAACAGACAGGTTCTAAGACATAAACCTCAGTGTGTCTACACTCACCTCCCTAGAAATTTTTTCCTTTCCTTGCAAGTTTGGTGCCACATGACATTCTTCTGATGTTTCAGAATTTAGTTGACGAAGATATCCTTGTATTTACCCTTTTGTAGAATGTTTTAAAGTTTATTTTCTATTGTATGCATATAGGTATTTTGCCAGCAGGTCTGTCTGTGCACCATGGCATACCTGGTACTTGCAGAGGCCAGAAGGGAGCTGGATCCTCTGGAACTGGAGTAACAGTTGGTTCTGATCCCTTTGGTTGGGACCTGAACCCTGACACAAGTTAACCCTGCCAAATTCCACTCAGGCAAGAGCCTGAGTCTTTTCCGTAACATAGAAATACAGAGAAAACAATAGACTTAAGAAAACAATAGACTTGCAAGGTTTGACCCTGAATATCACCTGTAAATTAGATAATCTTAGACAAGTAATTTAGTGTATTGAATTATGATCTCACATATGTAAGACAGAAAAAAAAAAAAAAAAAAAAAAACAGCTGTCTGTGGAGGACACACTGGGAATCCCAGAACTGGGGGCTCTAAGGAAGGACTGTGCAAGTTTGAGGCTAGCCTGAGGTACATAGTGAGTTTTAGTTGGCCTTTGTTACAGAATAAAGGTCCATTACAAATAGAGGCATAGATACAAAGTGGAGGAAGCCGGGCATTGGTGGTGCACGCCTTTAATCCCAGCACTCGGGAGGCAGAGGCAGGCGGATCTCTGTGAGTTTGAGACCAGCCTGGTCTACAAGAGCTAGTTCCAGGACAGCCTCCAAAGCCACAGAGAAACCCTGTCTCGAAAAAACAAACAAACAAACAAACAAAAAACAACAAAAAAACAAAGTGGAGGGAAAGGAGGAGGAGGAACGGAGTTTTGGGTTTTGCTGTTTTTGTTTTTTCAGTTCCTGGCTGTCCTGGAACTCTCTCTACAGACCAGACTGACCTAAATTCACAGAGATCCACCTCAGCCTCCCCAGTGCTGAGATTTAAAGATGTGCGCCACCATGGCCCATCTAGTTTTGTTTGTTTGTTTGTTTTTTAGTAACACCCCCTCCCCTTTTTGCAGTACTAGGGAATGAACGTCATGTAAGAACTAATTAGCTTTTTCCTCTCTGCAAAGCACAGCTGAGTATGGCAGCTCACCTCTTGAACTTGTGTTAATCGGGCTTCTGTGGCTGCCAGTGAGGCATTCTTTTCATATAAGAGCTTCTTAAGTCGAATCAGCTCCACGTTCTCCTTAATAGAAGCTCTGTAAATAGAAGACACTAAACTGTTCCATCTGGGGCCCGGTACCTCAGACTGTTGTTTGTCTATTTTGTTTCCTCCTGACACATCGGAAGTAGAAACAGTCTGCAAAATATCCTCCTGTTTTTTTTTTTTTTTTTTGTGTGTGTGTGTGTGTGTGTACAGTGTTGTGCCTGAATGTATGTCTGTGTGTCAGAAGAGAGCACCAGATCTCATCACAGGTAGTGAGACACCATGTGGTTGCTGTGAATTGAACCCAGGACCTCTGGAAGAGCAGCCAATGCTCCTAACCGCTGAGCCATTTCTCCAGCCCCCCCACTTTCCTCCTGTTTTTAATTATGACAGTTGATATCTGAGGACCATTAACCTTAAACCTTGAGTTCTAAGAAAACATAGTAACAGGGGCTGGAGAGATAGCTCAGAGGTAAGAGGGCTGACTGCCCTTCCAGAGGTCCTAAGTTCAATTCCCAGCAACTACATTACATGGTGGCTCACAACTATCAATAATGAGGTCTGGTGTCCTCTTCTGGTGTGCAGATATACATGGAAGCAGAATGTTGTATACATAATAAATAAATAAATAAAATCTTTTAAAAAAAAGAAAAGAAAACATAGTAACTATTTTTTTTTAATTACGGTTCTCACAATTTCTCAGAAATCTTACAGAGTCCAACAAAATATATGCCTGATTTCCTCAGAAACATGAATATAGAGACAAATTACAGCTATTATTATTTCCAAAGCTAGGGGATGATGTTTCTGGATATTTGATTTATTTATTTATTTAGGTTTTTCAAGACAGGGTTTCTCAGTATTGCTTTGGAGGTTGCCCTGGAACTCACTCTGTAGACCAGGGTGGCCTGAAACTCACAGAGATCCACCTGCCTCTGCCTCCCGAGTGCTGGGATTAAAGGCATGTACCATCAATCCCGGCTGTTAGTTAACTTTCCTAATGAAGGCCCTTGGGAAGCACTGATTTTAGTCCTAGGTTAAACCAGCCATCAACCCCGGTTCCAAAGGATCTGGCGCCCTCTTCTGGCACCAGAAACACATAGTACACTAACATCTGTAGGCAAAACATTCTTGCATACATAAAATACATAAATCTGAAAAATAAAGAGAAGCTGAAGAGTTGGCTTGGCTATAATGGCACTTGTTGCTCTTACAGGGGACCGGGGTTCAAGTGGTAGCTAGATACAACCCCTTAGGCCTCTGACCTCCACAGGAACCAGGCACTCACATGGTACACAGACACATATGCAAGCAAAACATTCATACACATAAAATATAAATGAATCTAAATCAAAATTTCAAGTAAAACAAACTGCAAAGGCTGTGGAGACTTGTATGTGGCACTTGTTGCTCAATTTTGCTATGAAACTAAGAAACTGATCTGAGCAATGCAGTCCATTTTCCACGTGGTATGTTTGTGCTCTGACACTCATGCTCACACACACACATGTGGAGGCCAGAGGTTGATGCTTGGGTATCTTCTTCATTTGCTCTCCACTTTATATGTTGAGACAAGGTCTCTCACACAGAACCTGGCTAGGAAATGAGCTCTCTGGAGCCCCTTGTCTCCAACACCCTAGTGCTGGGATTGTACATGCTGCCACACCCAGCTTTCCAGTGGTTGCTGAAGTTCCAAACCCTGGTCCTTATACTTCCATGACAAGCAGCTCACTGACTGAACTGATCCCCCTCGTCTTTTCTTTTCCTTTGCTTGGGTGTGGTGAGTCTTACCTCCAATTCCAGCACCCCAAAGTCAGAGGCAAAGCCATCTCAGCCCTTGAGCAAGGGTTCTCCCCTGAGCTAAATCCACAATGCTTAGATCAGCAGATAAAGACCTTGCCACAGAAGTCAGACAACTTGAGTTCAGTTCTTGGAACTTCCTGTGCAATAAAAGAACCAGCTGCATAAAGTTGTCTCCTGACCTGCACACGTGTGCCATCACATGCCTGTGTACCTGTGCATTAGAACACCTACACGCACACATCATACACACACAATAATAAAAGTAAAATATTGTTAAAGGTGGGATGGGCTCGTGCAGGACTTTCTTCCTTCATTCCTTTCTTCTTCAGTGTGAGGACAATTTTATGAGGATTTAAAGGGAAGATGCTTCAGGGAAGGCAAGCTGGAAATCTCAGCAACTGCCCAAAGGGGAAGACTGGAGGAGAGAAGAAAAACACACCATGCCAACTTGAGTTAAGAGGGCATGGGGGGCTGGAGAGAGCACTCGGTGGCTAAGAACACTGGCTGCTCGTCCAGAGGAGCTGGATTCCAGCATCCACATGGCAGCTCACAACCATCTGTAACTCCAGTTCCAGGGGATCAAACTCCCAATAAATTTAATTAAATTAAAAAGGAGGTCATAGAAGCCGGGCGGTGGTGGTGCACGCCTTTAATCCCAGCACTCGGGAGGCAGAGGCAGACAGATGTCTGTGAGTTAGAGACCAGCCTAATCTACAAGAGCTACTTCCAGGACAGCTTCCAAAGCCACCGAGAAACCCTGTCTGGGGGGGGCGGTGTCATAGAGGTCAGCCAGGGAGGAGGCGTTAGAGAAACAGTGATGCCCAATATGCCAAGGCAAACCTGCTTAGAAAAACGATGGAATGAAGAAAAGCCAAAGTTATGCTTTGGGCTCTTCAAGAAACAGCACTAAGAGGGGGAGTCAGGGGGTAGGGGAGCACATTATCTCAGTAAAGGAATGAATATTCTGCCTACCTCTTTTTTTTTTTTTTTTTTTTTTTTTTTTTTTTTTTTTTTTTGGTTTTTCGAGATAGGGTTTCTCTGTGGCTTTGGAGGCTGACCTGGAACTAGTAGACCTGGCTGGTCTCGAACTCACAGAGATCCACCTGCCTCTGCCTCCTGAGTGCTGGGATAAAAGGCATGCACCACCACCGCCTGGCCTGCCTACCTCTTTTTATATTTTTTTAATTCTTTAAGAATTTTGGGTGGAAGGGCTGGAGAGTTGGCTTAGGGTTTAAGAGGCTGTTCTCCGGGAGGACCGGGGATCAATTCCCAGCACCTACATGGCAGCTCACAGCTGTCTGTCACTCCAGTTTGAGGGGATCTGATACCTTCGTGCACATAAAATGAAGTTAAATAAATTTTTAAAAAATGTCTCGGGCTGAGCAATGGTGGCACTCACCTTTAATCCCAGCACTTGGGAGACAGAGGCAGAAGCAGGTGGATCTCTGAGTTCAAGGTCAGCCTGGTCTATAAAGCTAGCTCCAGGGCAGCCAGGGCTACACAGAGAAATTCATTCTTTTCCCTACCCATCTCCTCTCTCTTTAAACGTAGTCTCATTGTGTCACCCTGGAACTGTCTATGTAGACCAGGCTGGCCTCCAACAGTCATCCACCAGCCTGAGTGCCGGGAGTAAGGTGTACACCACAAAGCCTAGCCCACCTGCCTCTTAATTGGAGGACTTAACACTAGATATTAAAGGTTTATGTCTCAGACTGAATCTATTCCTAAATAGTCTCTTTTCCTCAGGGGTGAAGAAAAGCTGTCAAAATCCAACAAAACAAAATCCTTAACTGTTTCTGCTCAGTATGGGTTGAGGCACTGAACGCTAGCTCTCACCGAAGCTCTGCAGCCTTCCGAGCACACTCCACTGGGCTTGTCTGTGCAAGCTTTGCATCTCTGGGCCTTCTCTCAGGAGACCCGGGAGGCTCGTCCACTTGTGTAGTAATCATAATGGGAGCACTGTTAAACATACATAGACCAATGAATTTAGTCTGAATCAGGACGTGGGTGATAAAAAGGATGCCGTTATAATTAGAGGAAGATTAAACACAAAAGGGAGATGTAGAAACTTTTCTAGGGCATAGAACCTCAGTTAACTTACAAAAAAAGTTAGAAAATCATTTACCTTAGTGATATAGTAATCTTACAAAATATAACCTGCAAATGTCAACATAGGAGATAAAAACTAAAAGGAAAGGGGAACACTCTAGATAGTTAGACCCGAAGTTAACCTACAAGCCTCACCTGCCCAAGGACCAGGTAACCTCCTGGGATTCTGGGAGTTGTAGTTCTTAAAAAATAAAGAAGCCAGCCAGGCGGTAGTGGCACACACCTTTAATGCCAGCACTCAGGAGGCAGAAGCAGGCAGATCTCTGTGAGTTCGAGACCAGCCTGATCTACAAGAGCTAGGTCCAGGACAGCCTCCAAAGCCACAGAAAAAAAAACCCTGTCTTGGAAAACCAAAATAAAAATAAATAAATAAATAAATAAATAAATAAATAAATAAAATAAAGAAGCTATCCAGTGGTGGTGGCATATGACTTTAATCCCAGCACTTGGGAGGCAGAGGCAGGCAGATCTTTGTGCGTTCAAGGCCAGCCTGGTCTACAGTTTGAGTTCTAAGACAGGCTTCAAATCTACACAGAGAAACCCTGTCTCAGGGAAGCAAAACAAAAAACAAAGCCTCTTAGGGAAGTATGGTGTGGCCTTATAAGCCCAGCCAACATGTGTCTTGGGGCCACTGACCTGGAGAGTTTCCAGATGATGGTCCTGACCAAATTCCATCTTGGTCAGTATTTAAAATTCTAATAAGAGCTTGCTTAAATCTGGCCAAAATGATGGAAACTGTTTTTTCTGGCAAATTTCAGGATTAATATTGTGAAAAGGGCTTTTATTTTTTTCCTCAGAGGACAGGCAGAGAAATACTTGTTTTATAAATAAATACAAAAAAACATAAAATGTAAATATGAATGTAAATTTTGGCAGGGCCTCACTAGTATAGACAGGCTGTTCTGGAACTCACAGAGCTCCCCCTGTCTCTGTGCAGGTATGCTGGGACTAAAGGAATACTCATCCTCTTGGCTCATGATAGTATGTTTAAACAAAGAAACTGAAATTTGACTTACAGCTACCACTTGTTTTCTCTGATTATCCTGGAAATCAGCCACACTTACTGATACTTAAATGATATATTTCCAACTAGGGCTTCTTGGGTAACAACATGGGACTCGAAAGAGGAACTCACAGTTGGCTGGGTTCACTGGTTATATCCATTCTGTTGCATTCATCTGCCGAATAGCCCTTGAATGTGGGAGGTGATGTATAGCTGTGCCTGTCTTTTGGCCCTGAAAGCTCAGGCAGAGAAAGATGTGAGATGTAGCCACAGTACCTTCCAGAACACCACATACGAAAACCTGAACATCAAGTGTTAGCCTCTGTGAGCCTTGAGACCTGAGGGAGATCCTTATGTGACAATTAGCCACAAAGGTGTTTCCATCCTCATACATAAAATCACAACTGCAAATATCTTCAGTGAGTGGGTATTCAAGCTGGTCCAAGTCAGGGCCCGTGCATCCAGCCCTAACCTGGTCCATAACAGATGCTCAGTCATGCTTAAATGTACTCATATTATTTCATTTTATTTGTTTGTTTTGGTTTCTGTATGTAGCCCTGGCTGTCCTGCAAGTGCTGGGATTAAAGGCTCCACCACTCCCAGCCATTTTTTTTTTTTTTTTTTTTTTTTTTTTTTTATGTTCTCTTTTTCTTTTTGGTCTCACTCTGAAGTCCAGATCAGCCTGCAACTGGGTAGCAATCCTTTCTCAGCCTCCTGAGTGCTTTGATAACAAATGGGATGCCTGGCTCAGGAGTAAAATTTAGACTATTTTTTCAGCTGTTTTTTGCAAAGGTTTTCTTATATGGAATATAGGACTTGAAAGTATAGAACCATACTACACAAAACAAGTGAGTATTTTGGGACAGTGGTGGCACACAACTTTACTTCCAGCACTTGGGAGGCAGAGGCAGGCAGGGCAGATCTCTGAGTTCTGGTCTACAGAGTGAGCTCCAGGACAACAAGGGCTACACAGAAAAACCTTGTCTTGAAAAACAAACAAAAAAAAAACCAAATGAGCATTTAGCAACAAAATGAGAGCATTTTCTCCTCACTAACTTAGGTCCTTCTGGAGACTTAGTTGTCTTCTGGAGGCTGCTGTTGAGGCCCAAGACAGACCTCAGACTTAACCAGTTGGAGTCCACGAAGAGAAAGTATACTCTACCTTGATCATTTGCTGTCTGGCTTCTAGACCTCAGCCAGGGCTGTTTGTACACAGTGAAATGCTGAGCCTACAGAACTGTGTGGAATTTGTGTGTATGCCAAGTTTTCTTGGGAAAAGGGCCTTTAAACATGGTCATGGTTTCAAAGGAGTCCTCTTTTCCAAAATCAAAGCACAGAGGCCCAGTGTCCTGCAAGCCCTGGCTTCCCAGCCACATGCCGGCTGTCAGACCCTCACACCTAAACATAATCAATGCTCAACTCACCTTCTTTCTAGACAGCTGTCGGCTCCACCCATAAAACTTGTTTCTACTCTCTGCTTGTCTCTGGCAAATTCCTTTGGAAACTGAGTTGTTCACCTTTAGTTTTATTCTTTGAGACTTGGGTCTCACTACAGACTCTTGGCTGGATTGGAACTTGCTATATAGGGCAGGATGACCCAAGTTATCAGAAATCCTGCAGCCTCTTAACTCTGGATATGGAGTGGGGATTATTGAAACCAGCTGTTGATTTTGTTGTTGTTGTTTTGTTTTTCAAGACAGGGTTTCTCTATGTAACCCTAACTGTCCTGGAATTCACTTTGTAGACCAGGCTGGCCTGGAACTCACAGAGATCCTCCTGCCTCTGCCTGGGGAGCACTGAGATGAAAGAACACATCAATGTGCCTGGCAGTGTCGATTTTCTTTAAAGGCTTGTGCCACCACTACCCCGGCATTGTTGCTGTTTTGTTTGTCTTTTAAGTTGTCCCAGAGACTAAACTACGGCCTCAATGAAGCCCTCTGTCATGGAGCCACATGCCAGCAGTGAATTCAGAAATGTGTACCTGAGTTCTGTGGGTGGGGGTGGGGGTGGAGTACACAAAAGCAGGGAATGCGAGTGCTCATGGCTCACACCTTTAGTCCCAGCACTCAGGAGGCAGCAGGCAGGTGGATCTCTGTGAGTTCATGACCAGCCTGGTCTACAGAGTGAGTGCCAGGACAGCCAGGGCTACATAGAGAAACACTTTCGGGGGGAGGGGGCACAAAAAAAACAAACAAACAAAAAAGAGAATAAAGCAGGGAAGAAACACGCTCATGGGGCGTAGTTCCAGCCTCACTCTGCTTGGTTTTCTGCTACAGTTACACACCAGGTGTGTGGGACAGTCTTCGTCCTGCGTGCACTCGAGGCTGTGCACCGCCTGCCGCGCTGGAGGGACACCGGCGCTGTAGATGCGCTTTTTTCCTGGGAACCAAGAGGCGCAGGGGCGCCGAGGAGCAGCGTGGCTGCCTCGCAGGCTCCCGGATCCCAGCAGGTGCTCGCAGGTCCGGTTGGGTAGAGGTGGATTGCTGCACAGTACTCCTCTGCCTATGGCAAAACAGACCACGTGGGTTTCACCACCCACCCACCCACCAACCCACGCTGAGGTTCAACTCAGGGCTTGATTCTAGCTGGGCTAGCCTCAGAGCTAGCTCCAGCTTTGGTGTTTTAGGGTTAACTATTGCTTGGATGAAAAACCATTACCAGAAAACAATTTGGAGCCGGGCAGTAGTGGTGCACACCTTTAATTCCAGCACTCAGGAGGCAGAGGCAGGTGGATCTACAGAGCTAGTTCCAGGACAGCCTCCAAAGCCACAGAGAAACCCTGCCTCGAAAAACCAAAAAAGAAAAAAGCAAATTTGGGGAGAAAGGGTTTATTTTATTTGGCTTATGCTTCCAGATTGTAGTCAAACACTGAAGGAAGTCAGGATAAGAACTCACAAATAGGGCTACAGGAGCAGATATGAAGGAGTGCTGCTTCCTGGCTTGCTTCGCCGGCCTTCTTTTTTTTTCTTTATAGAATCCAGGACCATCAAGGATGGCTAGAAATGACATCACCTGAAATGGGCTGAACCCTCCTGGGCCCTCCCCCATCAAACACTAAGAAAATGTCTTACAGCTGGATCTTTTGTTTGCTTTTTCTAGACAGGGTTTCTCTGTGCAGCCCTGGCTGTCCTGGAACTTCCTCTGTAGACCACACTGGCCTCTAACTCAGAAATCCACCTGCCTCTCTTCCCAGTGCTGGGATTATAAGCATGTACCTATGATGCCTTTTAAAAAAAAAACAAATTTTAGCCGATTGGTGGTGGTACACACTTTTAAACCCAGCACTTGCGAGGCAAACAAACAAACAACCCCCCCAAAATAAACAAATATTAAGAGGCATAATAAATGTGAGTAAAGTTTTTACTTCTATGCAATTGGCTCAGGCAGTCCGTATGTCCAGATATGACAGTCTTAGCTCCGTTCAAGCTAGACTATAGAAAGGATTTGTGGTAGTTAGATAAAAGCCAGCACTCCTTCCTCAGGAACTTATGAAATTCATTCCCATCTGCCAAAAGGAGTCATTTCCCTTGCCTCTGACAGAAGGGACACACTCTTCATTGACATATACCTGCCATTGCCTATCAAAGCCCACCCATGCTGGCCTGGAAACTCCCTCAGTACTTATTACAACATTTCAAAGTCTTCACACTAGCTAGCATCCTGCCCTCTACACCCCCCCAACCCCGAGGCCTGCTCCAGCTGCTCCTCCTATTTATAATTGGAATGATCACCCTGTGCTCTCTTGCTTTTCTGGAAGATAGAACTGACCGAGTCCATTCCACTTCATTTTCTCTCTGCCTTAAGACTCTTCTAGATATGTTCCTGCTCTTATTCACAATAAAAACCTCCCCTCCTTAGCAGGGGTAGGGGGTTTGGGGGAGGGAGGCACACCTTTAGTCCCAGCACTCTGAAGGCAGAGGCAGGTGGATCTCTATGGGTCCAAGGCCAGTCAGATCTACAAAGTCAAGTTCCAGGACAGGTAGGGCTGTTACACAGAGAAATCCCTGCTTCACCACCCCCCCCCCAAAAAAAAGATTAATCTGATTCAGGCTTAGTGATGTAGGCCTATAATCCCAGCACTGGATTTAACTGCTGCTGAGCCCCACCGTTGTTTAGAAATATTAAGACATGAGAAAAAGCAAGACCACTGGAGTGTGATGTCTACCTGTAATCCCAGCCTTGGGTGAAGAGGAAGGGGGCCTGCTCCAAGTTCCAGGCCAGTTAGACCAACAACAAAAAAGCCAGCTACACTATGTCACTAACGTTGGTCTTGGCTAGAAGGCCTTGACACCAGTGTATCACTTCAAAGTGTCTTAATGATGGACTTCAGATTATCCATCCTTACATCCCTTTCTCAGATTCCTGCTTAGGTGTACCCAGAGATCCACCACTGAAAGGGCATAGTCCAAGCTATGGAACATTTTGGAATTAAGGGCTTTAGCTCTGCCACTTACTAGATGTGATCATGGGCAAGTTGTGTAGGTTCTTCAGGTTTCCTTGTCCTAATAATACCCTGCCTTCACACTATGTCGTGGTTTGAAAGGAAATGGCCTCCAAAGGGAGTGGCATGATTGGGAAGTGTGGCCTTGTTAGAGGAAGTGTGTTGCTGTGGAAGTGGACTTCGAGGTCTCATATATGCTCAAGCCATGCCCTGTGCTGCAGACCACTTCCTGTTGCCTGTACAAAATGTAGACCTCTCAGCTACCTCTCCAGCACCATGCCTGCCTGCATGCCACATGTCCCACCATGATGATAATAGACTGAAAATGTAAGCCACCCCAATTAAATGTCTTCCTTCATAAGAGTTGCCATGGTCAAGTCATGGTGTAGAAACCTTAACTAAGACACACTAGTAAATGAGTCAACAGATTTAATAGTAATTCAGTTCATGTGTGTACAGAACACACAAGGTGCCTGCATGCAGTAAAGAGCCGATTGATCTTTACTTTTCAAAAGAAAACTTCCTTTTCATACCTCTAACCCCCTTGTTCTGCCAAGATTTTACCATTAACTCTGTCTCCATCTTCTCCCTTTCAGCCAAACAGGAACCTGCCGAGTTGAGTCTTTTGCTCTGTGCATTGATATGCCATCACCAGGTTACTTGGACTGCTCTGTGCTGGGTTAAATTATGAGGTGTGTGGTAGAAAAACAATAAAGCAATACTGTTTGCAAAAATATTTTTGAGCCCGGCATCCTTGATGTTTGAGTCATTTTTGGTATAGACATCTGAGGAAAATATAATCCTTTCGGTTTAGTATGTAGCCAATCTGCTGCAGACACAGCTTTTGAAAGTATAAGAACTCTGGGTACCTTTTGCTTTTATCTCGTTGCTTTGGAGGAAGTTCCTTCACCAATACGGGCTTCTCGTGAAGATGAAAGAGTCTGTAGTTCAGTTGCTTCTGGCTCATCCTGCCCACCTGTGACTGGGCCTTCACACTCTTACCTGAAGTCCCTGAAGAGAGTAGTTGGAGAATATTTTACATGTCTTGTTTCTTTATTCTATTTTATTTTGTTTGTTTTTCCAGATAGTGTTTTTCTGTGTAGCTCTGTCTATCCTGGAACTTGATCTGTAGACCAGGCTGGCCTCGAACTCAGAGATCCACCTGCCTCTGCCTCCTGAGTCTTGACAAGTGGGGGCTGGAGAAATGGCTCAGGGGTTAAGAGCACTGGCTGCTCTTCCAGAGGACCCAGGTTTAATTCCCAGCACCCACATGGCAGCTCACAACTGTCTGTAACTCCAGTTCCAGGGGACCTGAGACCATCACATAGACATACATGCAGGCAAAACACCAATGCACATAAAAATAAATAAATATTTCTTTAAAAAAGTCTTGCTGGGCGTTGGTGGCACATGCCTTTAATTCCAGCATTTGGGAGGCAGAGGCAGGCAGATCTCTATGAGCCAGCTTGGTCTACAGACCAAGTTCCAGGACAGCAGGAACTGTTGCACTAAGAAACCCTGTCTAGAGAAAAAAAAAAAAAAGTCCTATAGGCTAGCTGGGTGTAATGGCGAATGCCTTTAATTTCAGCATTTGAGAGGCAGAGGCAGGTGGATCTCTATGGTTTGAGGAAAACCTGGTCTACAGAGTGAGTTCCAGGATAGCCAGGGATACACAGAGGATTTCTATATTGAAAAACCAAACACATAGATATAGGTATATAGCTATATATCCTTAAAAATGGTGGAGGGGTGCACATGGGAAGGATGGCCCAGGATTTAACAGCACACTGCTCTTGCAGAGGACCTAAATTCTGTTACCAGAACCCATGCTGGGCAGCTCACAACAGCCTATAACTTTGAAACTAGGAATGGAACTCAGGAGGCAGGCTTTGTGGCAAGTGCCTTTGTCTGCTGAGATCTCCCTGACCCTGTCTGTTGTTTTTTGAGATAAGGTCTCACTCTGTAACAAAAGCTAGCCCTGACCTTGTAATTCTACAGTCTCTGTCTCTAAAGTACAGATGTAGCAACCGAATAGAAACTTAAAAAACTACATCAAGATGGTGTAGTGAGCCTGGTGGGGTGTTGGGGGAGGGGCCATGTCTTTAGTCCCAGCACAGTCAAGTAGATTTCTGTGAGTTCTAGGTCAGGCCAGCCATAGTAATACAGTGAGACCTTTTCTCAAAAAATAATATAAAACAAGCTAGTGGAGAGGGACTGGAAGCCCTCGCCCAGCGTGGCTACCAACAACAAACAGCATGCTTGAGAAGAGCTTCCAATATACAAATGTGGAAGACAAGAACGGGTCTTTTTGGTTTGTTTGTTTGTTTGTTTGTTTGTTTTTTAATCACCACAGAGGGAGCTTGAGTGTGGTCCAGCCATTTCCTCTTAGATTGTGCATCTCTGCTTGGTGAGCCAGAAACACTAACCACGTGGGGAAGTGACTGAAATGCCCTAGTCCATTACTGGCTTTCCTGGAGTCTAGGGAGGAGATAATTAGCTTTACATCTCCAACTTCAGGAGAGAATCTTTATTATAAGAACTCCAGGGGCACTCTGTCTCAGAGTACACGCCCAGCTCTTCTTCTCCAGGCTCCTCTTGAACTGGAGGCTGAGGCATCTAGGACCACAAGGATGGCAGGACTTCATTGGCTTCATTCACTAATAAAATCGTTTCACTTTTAAATTAACTAAAAGGAAAACAACACAATAACTTCAGTGGCTGAGGAGATGCATCAAGTCAGGAAAGTGCCAAGTGCATATCTCACAAGCCTGAGGATCTGAGAGTTCCAGAACCCACACAAAGGGTCAGGCACCACACAGGCATGTGCCTGTGACCTCAGCAGTGGCACAGACAAGTGGATACCCGAAAGCTCACAGGCAAGCTGCCTACCTTACACAGTCAGATCCCAAGCCAGTAAGTGAGCCTGTCCCAAAACAAAAGGTGGAAGGTGCCAACACCCAAGATTGTCCTTTGGCCTCTAGTGTGCACTCCCCAAATGTTCACACAAACATAGCACACAGAATCAGAATAAACTATTAAGAAAATCTACAAGACTCAGAAGTGGCTCAGTGGTTAAAAGAACTGACTGCTCTTGCCGAGGAACCGGGTTCAGTTCCCAGCACCCACATAGTGGCTCACAACCACCCACCTGTTCGAGGGGATCTGATAAGTACAATCCTGCAGGCATGTGGCGAGCACATACACTCAGGTATGTGTACATGTGCATGTCCATACAGTTAAATAAATAAGTATTTAAATAAAAAGAAATTTTCAGAAAAGGGTTGGAAGAAAACAGTTGCCACTGTAAAGACTGTCAGGGCTGTCCCACCGGGACACTCAGTGAAGACATCCACACCTCGGCACTGGGTACTCCTACCTTCCAACAGGTGAATGGAGTCATCTGTGTCTCTAACTGGCAGATCCTCTGGTATATGGTCCAGTAGATGTGTTATCACCTCAGTTATCGGACTGTAAGAGATCCTAGAGGACACTAAATAAAGGAAAAGTCTTTATGAAGTTATAACTTCAGACTGTCTTCTGCAGGTTCTTCCTAAATTGTAGTAGGAATTTTCCAATACTTTTGTGACACTAAATACTTTTGTGACACATCCTAGTTACATTTGTGATGGTGATGGTGTGGGCAACTCTAAGGCCATGCAATCAGTAATATGATATCATTTATTCAAAATTAAAATTAGGGCTGGAGAAATGGCTCAGAGGATAAGAGTACTGCCTGCTCTTCCAGAGGTCCTGAGTTCAATTCCCAGCAACCATATGGTGGCTCACAACCATCTATAATGAGATCTGGTGTCCTCTCTGGCCTTCAGGAGGTATACATGTAGGCAGAACATTGTATACATAATAAATAAATAAATAAATAAATCTTTTTTAAAAAATCAAAATTAAAATTAATTTTTTTTATTATTTTTTTTTTATTAATTTTAAGTATCTGCTCATCCTGGTAGCAAATGACCAACCCTTCTCTCTGGGAAATGGGCCTCTAAATCCTCTCCTCTTTGTTTGCAGGGGCTAACTCTTACCAATTTATATTTTATGTCCTAGTCCCCCTAGCTACTGTGATGGGACCAGACACAGAATACTGACCAATGTTAGTCATGTACTATCTCCTGGAGAGTGGGAAAAAGGCAAAGAAAGTTAAATTAAGCGAGGTATGGTGGTATAAACCTGCAATCCCATCACTTAAGAGACCAAGGCAGGAGGATTCAAAGTTTGAAGTCTGTCTGGGCAATTGAGCAAGACATTGTTAAAAAAAGAAAAACAGAGGATCTAGAGAGAAGGCTCAGAGGTTAAAAGCACTGGCTTCTCTTCCAGAGGACCTGAGTTCAATTCCCAGCAACTACATGGTGACTTACAACCATCTATAGTGAGATCTGGTGCCCTTTTCTGGTGTGGAGGCATACATATAGGCAGAATACTGTATAAATAAAAAAAATAAATCTTTTTTAAAAAGCTGGGCGGGTTAGTAGAGCATGCCTTTAATCTCAGCACTTGGGAGGCAGATCTCTGTGAGTTCGAGGCCAGCCTGGTCTACAAAGCCAGTTCCAGGACAGCCAGGGCTGTGACACAGAAAACCCCTGTCTCAGGGGAAAAAAAAAAAAGAAGAGGGTCTGGAGAGGGTCTCCAGCCTCAACCCTCACAGGATACTTGATGTCTTGTAAGTATCTTAACTTGCATGGTTCCTGTATATCTCAAACTCAAGAAGAACTCTCATTTCTCAGATCTCTATTTCTGTCTCTATGTGTGGTATTGGCATCCTAGCAGTCCCAAAGCCTTGTGACCTCTCTTTCCCTCATCTAGTAGCATGTCCTCTGGTTTCTTCCTCAAGTAATAGTTCACAATCTCCAACGGTGTTAACTCAGGCATCTGTGTGTCTTTCCTCAACTGCCATGTCTTCCTAAAGCTCTCCCTGTTTTCCCTCTCTAATCTCTATTAGTTCTCCCTAAAGCATTCATGGCGACTTTAACCCACATGTATAATATGATGCTTAAAAGTTCCCAGGGAGTTTTCAGTAACTTTGAATGAAATCTAAACTCTCTGTCAAAGCCCATAAGACCTTGGACAAAGTGGTGCCTTTCTCCCACTCCCCCAGTCAGGCTCTGTGCCTCCTGAGTGAAGCTCACAACACACTGCAGTCCTCTCTGTGGCTCCAGTCATCACTCTCCTCAAATCTCCATGGCTCTTGAACTTCAATTGACTGCTTTTTATCTTGCTCCTTTACTGTTATTATGATTGACTGATTGATTTTTGAGACAGGTTCTCTCTCTACACAGCTCTGGCTGTCATGATACTCACTCTGTAAATGAGACTGGACTTGAACTTACAGAGATCTGCCTGCCTCTGCCTCCTGAGTGCTAGGATTAATGGCTTGTGAAGCCACAGCAGGCCTATTTTTTCTCTTGCCTTTAACTTGATTGCCTCTTTATTATCAGTCTCTAGGCATTGTTTTCTTTCTTGAGGTGGAGTTGGAGTCTAGAGATCAAACCTAGGGCTTTATTTGGGCTAGATAAATCCTCTATCACTGAAGCATATCTCCAGTTCTCACCATCTTTCTATATACCAAAAGAGCTTGCTCTGACCTTCACAGTTAAAGTGCACAGTTCCCCTATTATTGTTCTCACTCTCCTTTTTTTTTTTTTTTCCTTCTTTTTGGTGTTTCTAGACAAGGTTTCTCTGTGGCTTTGGAGTCTGTCCTGGAACTAGCTCTTGTAGACCTGGCTGGTCTCAAACTCACAGAGATCCACCTGCCTTTGCCTCCCGGAGTGTTGGGATTAAAGGTGTGCCACCACCCCCTGGCACTCACTCTGCTTATTATCCCTGTTACATTCTCTCTCTCGCTCTCTTTCTCTCTCTCTCTCTCTCTCTCTCTCTCAGTGTGTGTGTGTGTGTGTGTGTGTGTGTGTGTGTGTGTGTATTTGAGACAGGGTTTCTCTGTGTAGCCCTAGTGGTCCTGGAAGTTGTAGACAAAAGTGGCCTTGACCTCAGAGATTTGCCTGCCTCTGCCTCCTCAGTTCTGGTATTAAAGGTGTGTGCCACCATGCTCAGCTAGACCTCTATCACATCCTCCTTTTTTTTTTTTCTCCCAAGATAGGGTTTCACTGTGTAGCCCTGGCTGTCCTGGAACCCTCTTGTAGACCATGCTGGCCTTGAACTCATGCAGATCTGCCTGCCTCTGCCTCCTGAATGCCAGAATCAAAGGTACGGGCCACCACTGTCCAGCTCCTGTCACATTGTCAATACTCAGGTATCATTGTCACTTATTTATAAGTCTGTCCCCCATCTAAGAGATAAAGATTTTGAAGGAAGAGAATCAATGTAACTTGTTACATTTGCATATCCTGTATAGCTCCTGAAATGGTTCCTAGAAAACAATCGGAACCCAAAAAGAATATACCAAATAAATGAAAGAGAGAAAATGTCATGAAGGAGGCAAGTAAAAACTCTTGACTTTTTCCTATTCCTCTTGTTTTTAAACTGTATTTGTTTTCTTGAGACAAGGTCTCATTATATATCCCTAGCTGGCTTAGAATTCTCTATGTAGAACAGCCAGGCCTGTTACTCATCTATCTTTGTCTCTGGAGTGCTGGAATTAAAGGCTATCATGCCAGCTATCACGTTCGTGAAATATGGTCTGTCTATGCCCTCCCTGGGTGGGTGCACCTTCAGGAACACAAGAATGGAGATGGCTGCTGTGCTTAGGATTGGAGGACATTTAGAAAGAGACTTTTCCTCAGGCTTATTAGAGGCAGGAGGATAAATTAGAGGCCAGTCTGGCCTACACAGTGAGACACTGTTTCAAAAATGATAATTTAGCTGATTGTGGTGGTGCACCACTTTAATCCCAGCACTCAGGAGGCAGAGACAGGCGGATCTCTGTGAGTTTCAGGCCAGCCTGGTCTACAAAGTGAGTTCTAGGACAGGCTCCAAAGCTATACAGAGAAACCCTGTCTCGAAAAACAGAAAAACAACAACAACAACAACAACACAAAACCAACAACAAAATGATAATTTAGCAGAGTACAGTGGCACATGCCTTTAATCCCAGCACAGGGAGACAGAAGAAAACAGATTTCTGAGTTTGTAGCCAGTCTGTTCTACGTAGTGAGTTCCAGATAGTCAGATCTATTTAGAGAGACCCTATCCAAAAAAAACCAAACAAGAACAACAAAAAACCTGACAACAGGGGGCTGGAGAGATGGCTCAGTGGTCAAGAGCACTGGTTGCTCTTCTAGAGGACCTGAGTTTAATTCCCAGCAACCACATGGTGGCTCACAACCATATGAAATGAGAGCTGGTGCCCTCTTCTGGCCTGCAGGGATACATGGAGGCAGAACACTGTATACATAATAAATAAAATTTAAAAAACCACACACACAACAAAACCTGACAATAACAACAAAAAAGTCAAGAATCCCTCTCCTTTGAATGAAAGAACAATAGAGGTTAAAATGTGGCATTTTGTGAAAATCTGCCCTGTTATTAGGTAGGTGGGAAGCGTGGAGGGAAGCCTGGGTATACAGCACTTGCCTGTAAAGCCAGGACTGGGGAGGCAGACAGGAAGATAACCACAAACTCTAGGTTAGCTTGGTCTACATAGTGAAGTCCAGGCTAGCCAGGGGTGCAGAGCAAGACCCATCTCAGAAGAGTGAAAAACAAACAATGAGTATGGAGAAGAGACCTAGCTAGGAAGACATTGTCCTTGTTCAGCAAAACCCTGGGAAGAGGGTAGGTCTGGGGACAGAAGAATGTCATGGATCATCAGTCACCAAAGCACTTGGATGTGGAACAGACCTAAGAAAGTAACGATGCCTCAGTGGATACCTCCAAGGCTGGTGAAAAGATACAAAATGAATACACTTATTTTGCTCTTCTTAAAAGTATCCAGGAAACCGGGCGCCTTGGTGGCGCATGCCTTTAATCCCAGGGTTTCGAGAAACCCTGTCTGGAAAAACCCAAAAAGAAAAAAAAGTATCCAGGATGCTGGGCAGTGGTGGTGCTCGCCTTTAATCTCAGCATGTTAGAGGTAGAGACAGGATCTCTTGCGATTTTTTAGGCCAGCGTGGTCTACAAAGCCAGTTCCAGGACAGTGATGGCTGTTATGCGGAGAAACCCTGTCTGGAAAAACCATAAAACAAACAAAGAAACCCTGTCTTTAAAAACCAAAAAGAAAAAGAAGACGACGAAAGAAAGAAAGAAAGAAAAAGAAAAAGTATCCAGGGTAAAAGATGAAAGATTATAAATATGCATTAGCTATAAACTTACAATCTTGGCTTCTTCCAGAGAGTTCTGTGCAGTTCTTCCCTCTGGATTTCCTGCTGTGTCTAATACTCCGGTTTCTAATCCTCTTGTCCTCCTGCCCGCCCAAGGAGACACTAATCCAGGCCATTTAGCTGTTAACTCTTTGTAGATCTGTTTTTATTGTAGTGACGACTGTACTTTTTCTGGATCCATGTTGAACTTGGAGAAACAGCATTAAAAGCAGTATTTAACCCGTGAACTTCCCCACTAAAACTACAGCTGGAAAATGCATGTTTGACTTGGGGTTAATAAAAATGAGTTGGAACTGGGAAGATGACTTTTACATCTGCTGTTAATGGGCCAGGTGTAGGAGCCCATGCCTGTAATCACAGGACTGAAAGCCTGAGGCAGGAGTGGTCTGAGTTGGAGGTCAGCCAGTTTACATAGTGAGTCCGTGGCTAGTCAGGGTTACAAAGCAAGATACTTTCTTAGGGGGGAGGGGGAGGGGGGGAATCAGTCACTTAGTCACTTGAGGGTCAAGACAATGGGAAGGGAGTAAGCCCTGAGATCTCTTTGAGGAAAAATGACTCTATGGGATCAGTGTTTCTGGCTTAATCCATGGGATCCAGAGTGTTTTCAAGTAAGAGATGAATTCAGATACTTTAATATTTTCCAACTAGGGTTTAAGGTATTCTGTTTCCTCCATCTCTTGGCCTTTGTTTGTTTTTGAGACAGGGTTTCACTGTGCCACCCTGGCTGCCCAGAACCCACTATGTAAACTAGATTGAATGAACTCGAAAACATTCCAAATGCTGGGATTAATAAAGGCATGCAACAACACCTGGCTATGTTTTGCTTGTT